GAGCAAAGTCTCAAGAGCTTGAAAGGACACGGCACGTTCAAACATGGCACATAGGTGGGGTGAGAGAAGGTGCTAGTGATAAGGCTGGGAAGATACCTGCACGCTTTATAAAATTTACACTTGATTTTGTAAAGAATGGGGAACCATTATTCATTTTTGGGAACAGAATAGTGTGAACAGATTCGTGTTTTAAGAAGGTAACTCCAGCAGTCTGGAGTTTCTTTAGCCAAGAAAGATAAACCGTATTAACAGAGTAATCACAGAAATGTTAGAATGAGGGTATGGGCTGTCGATGAGGCATGTTGGGTTTCCAATAGCTTCCACAGGCCAACATTTAATAATGTAACCAGTGGAAACTATACAACCATATAAAATCAACTTTCTGTGACCTATTTTAGCAACTTCTTTGTACTGACTAATCTTGTTAAGGATGAATCATAAATTCAGCAAGAGACCATGTCCTGCTGACCTCACTTGTTCTAAACCCACAGGAATACTCCCACCTCTATTGGCTCCAAGGCTTTTGAGAAACATCCTAATTGAAAAAGCAGTCATTTTAGTGTAAGTCCCAAACTTCGCTTTTTTTTTTTTTTTAAGTGAAAGATAGGGAAAAAGGGAATGGAAACAGAGTAACATAAAACTCAAGATAAAAAAAAAAATCATACTGCCATGGTCTTTCTAGCTCTAAAGAAAATCTCTGCTTGAGACCTTCTCCTAAAGTACTTAGAACAAGAAGATACAGGCATAGAAATGGTACCAGGTCACCGGAGAGTGAGACCAACTGACACAAAAGCCCAGCTGACCACTGCCCTTGCCAAGCAGATGAAAATGTGAACACAGTCGGGGGGGATAAGGAAGTCAGACTCTGGCAGTCTGTTGAGTTTCAGAGCTCCATAGTTAATGCAAAGGATTTCTTAAAAAAAAAAAAAAGATTTTAAAAATTGCAACCACAGCAGTTCACCCAAAAGTAGAGTTAGTTACAAGGCACACAGAAATTCTTCTGTGTTAAATAATTTCAACCATACACATATTTCCATGATTTACCAATCTGACTATAGTTAATTAGCTCCTATACAACCATGAGTCAGGGTCAGTTCAAATATATCTTAAAATGATATAATTTTAGATTTGGGAGGGTCTTAGAGACAATTTAACCTGCTTCACTCGGTTTTTAATCAAAACCAACAGACAAGTGATTTTTCCAAACCTACACAGTGAGTCTTAACTGACTGTTCTTTCCACACACCCCTCACCTTCCTTCTACCATGTGTATATGTTTATAGGTCTAAGTCTGTGTGTATGTGTGATCTATCTTTCATATTGATAACATATCTAGCATCCGCACGTTCATATGACTTTCTATGTTCTTACCTTAATTCATATTTACATTTGGATTATAATTCTAAGATGTTAGGACCCTGTCTTCTGGTCTCATGGGAAATTTGCTGCCACCTATGGCTGTATTATTACTCATTGAATAAGAACAGGATGATAGTCATATAAAGGGGAAAGGGTTAACTACAGATATTGGTCAGAGAGTCTGTGTGTACAGAACAAAGATCGGTGCTAGGACTAGCAACGATCCATCCTGATGGGAGAACTAGGACTGTCCCCCAAGTCTAGTTCCCTGTCATACCTTGCTACGGGCTGCCCAGGGCATGGCAGTAAGGAAAGGAGCTGACCATGAGGAAGCTTTGTGTCCACTACCTGTCCTGAGAATTTTTAGAAATAACTGCTTCTGATGTCAAGTGAAGGACGTACTAACTAACTAGACAGGGAACTCCTTCTACAAAGTATATGTATATCAAATCATTCCAACATACACTTTAAATAATGCCTTCCAACTTTGCAAATTATACTTCAATAAAGTTGGGGGGGCCCGCCTCTGTTTCCATCTTGCCTTAGATCTCATGCTTCCCAGTGATTTATAACCTAACCTTTTCAACATTACTATCCCTTGCTCAGATACTGCAGACAGTCTTTGCTGGGTTGGATTCAAGCCACAATCCATCAACCTGGTAGACCCACTGACCATAACCTTCATCTACTTAGCACTGGCAACATTTCCTTGTAAAAAGCCTGTCCTGGGTCTGTCAGTGCCTGAGGCAATACAATTTCTAGAATACATCCATCCATAGGCTTCTAAGTAAGACTGAAAAAGATAGCCAAAGATCAAACAGAACCCCAAAGCCCTCTTTCCATAGTTACAAATCCATGGGGTCACCTCACTTAAGCTCTTCTGTATAGTCAGTGTTCAGGAGTATGAAGGGAAAGTTACAGTCTTCCTTCCATGGACTCACTGGTCCCCTAAAGCACTGTGGCCAGTTCTGCAATGTCCATGTACTTTAGTGAATTTGTTAAAAGCAAAAACGAATCCTTGTTTAGCTAGGGTGCTTTGTGGTTCTTGGTCTTTCCTCGCTGGTGATCTCCTGAGGGACTAATTTTAGTTCCGTGATCATCATCCAGGTCTCTCTTCCACACCACTTCCCATCTTCTACATCCCCAGGCCTGACTGCTAATAAGACTTTCAAAGCAGAGGGTTCTGGAGACCAAGAACTACTGGCTTCCAATGTAAAGGTACAGCTCCAGCTTAGTGGTTAAGAGCGTGGACTCTGGAGAGGCTGCCCACATTCAAATCAAGGATCCACCCCACACCAGCTATGGGACTCTAAGCGTATTACTTAAGCTCTCTGTGCCTCACCATCTCTGTATTTCACCACCCTCAAAATGGGGTCAGTAAAAATATCCATATTGCAGGAGTATCATATGAATTAAATAAGCTGCTACTTGTAAGGAACTTAAAATTAGTCAGTGCCCACTGTTATTGCCACCATTTTCTCCTCCTCCTCCCGGAAGTGGGCTCTCTCACTCCGAGGACAACACACTGGGTGCTTAGGTGTTGGTTCTGAGAGTGACAAGTAGGCTCCTAGTCTGTTTGATGTGCTCTGCTCTTATATATCCCAAGCAAGAAGCTAGGGAAGAAATGATCTTCAAATCCAAAGCAATCATTTTCTTTAAAGAAACACTATTGGGGAACAAGGAAGAGTTGAGGAATGATGCAAAATTACTTCAGAATTACTTCAAATGATTGCCAACTTCAGAAAGACTAAAGGGCAAAGCCCAATTATCACACCAGGCTTCGTGCTCACCAAGCAGCAGTCAGATTCTTCCACAAAAGGGAATCCTAACTGTACCCAGGCAACCCAGCAGTCTGCGAGGTATCTGGATACTCCTCCAAGGCCAGGGAAACATTCTGCCAATGGGAGGGGCCACTTTATAAGCCATATCTGTTTGATTTTCTCTTATCACAAGGATAGTGCAGGGCAGCCTTTGAGATGAAAGCAAATCTTCATTTTTCACTGCTGCTAAAGAGCTCCACAGAGGGGATGTGCAAGGTGTGAAATGCTAGATGATGGCACGAGGGTGGAGGGAAAAGAGGGTGGAGTTTTTTTCTAGAAAGACGCAAACTGCCTAAAGAAGTTATTGTTGTTAACTTATCAGCTTATCAGAATTACATTCATTTCACATTTTAAACAATTTTTTTGAGCAGAAACTACGTTCAGAGCACCATGTAAGGTACTGAGGATAAAACAATAAGAAACAGTCCCTTTCTCAGTGATCAGTAGAAGACAGTAAACAGCTGATCACAAATCAGAGTGAGGGAGGGAATGAATGGTTTACTTCCCACTAACAAAGCCATTCATGAGAAAGCATACTTCAGGAAGGCCAATTTAAGAAATACTTACTGTGAGGCCCTTTTATAAAAGAGAGTATGGCAGAGAAAAGTAGGAGTGATTGGTAGTGTCTCCTTGATTGTCATGGATGATTTTCAAATTTATTTATTTATTTATTTATTTTTAAGATTTTATTTACTTTTTTGAGGAATGAGAGAGAGAGAGAGTATACCTGAGTAGGGGGAGAAGCAGGGGGAGAGGGAGAAGCAGACCCCTGGCTGAGCAGGGAGTCTAATGCGGGGTTGATCCCAGGATCACAACCTGAGCCAAAGGCTAACACTTAACTGACTGAGCCACCCAGGTGGCTCAATGAGTTTCAAATTTAATTAGCAATAGTAATATTATTAAATATTTAAGATATCTAAAAGAAAACTCTCGGAGAAATGACGAGATGGTTTGTCACACCTCACAGAATTCATGTACATATGTATGTGCATGAAGTATGAGGGAAAAAAAGAAATTGAGGGCCCCACACCACAAGGTCTGAACCAACCTCTCCCACCTTTTCCTACTAGCCTCCATGGGATCCCCTGTTACCCCCTGCACCTCTCATCTCTTCACCTCGGTTCCCACTATACTCTTGACCCAGTGTCCTCTACCGCAAACCCCTTTCTGCATCTTTGTGTCTTTCATGGGCCAGCTGAAACTCCATAAACTCTCATAAGCCTTTCCTAACAAACCCAGCACAGTATCTTCCTTCCTTCCTCTGTCCTCTCACAGTCACTGTCACTTGCTCATTGAAACAAGTTCCAACAATATAAAGTAAAACAAAAGCTCCCTCACAAATATTTCAGTTGATGTCTATTTCCTCTCACTCCTGGTACCTTCCTGAGTGTTTGTTAGTGTCTGATCCCCTTGCCTTAAGTGAAAAGTTCTTTAAGCCAGGGATGGTATCTTTATACATTTTTAATCGCGTCGTAGCACAAGGCCATGCCCTGTGTGTCATCAGATGAACATCTACTGATGTGAACAAGCACTATCAAACTTTGGACAAAGGCAAATACTACATGAATTATGAGCCCACGCAGATTCTAACATACACAGTTAGAAAGGGAGAGTTAACCACAGTCATCTTTTCACTCAGCACTTCTTATGAAGACACCAAGAATGAGGCTTCAGGTAAAAGGTGAAAGCAAATTGAAGAGGGAGCTTATTAAGTAAGCAAAACCGGACAGGGACATCGGAGATATGCCGCTCCTGAGGTAAAGGTAAGAAAGACAAAAGAAAGTCAACCATCGTTCAACAGCATCAGATATAAAAACATACCAGTATTCCCTTGAGCATCTTCGACCTTGTTTGGTGAGGACGACAGAAAAGCGGGCCTGCTGAAATGAGGGCCCCGGAGACACGATGGCTGCTGCTGCAGAGGCATGGTTTGGAGGACTAGCCTCCAGTCCACCTGGGTGACATCTGACCTTGACCGAGTATGACCCGGCTTAAAAGTAGAGGTCTCATCCAATAAGTCATTGACGGAACGAGGCCTGTCCCGCCGACGCTGACACACGTTGAAAAAGTTAAAGGTCGATGCTTCCTTTTGTTCCATCCAGGAAAGATTATCTGGGGCTGTCCCCTTCTGAACCATAAACTGTTCTTTGGCAGGGAAGACATTCTGAGCTTTGGTTTCTAAGAGCCTGCTCTTACAGTGGTCCCAAAGCAGGCCCCCCTTGCCCAGGGACGCAACATGTCTGATAGCACCATTGTCTGTTATGTTAGTGAGTACCTCGTGCCCCACCAATTCAGGGACTTCCTGAATCCCATAAACCTCGGCTTGCTGCACAGCCTTTTCTAGCTTACTGTCAAAAGTACTAAAGAAATCCTCAGTAACTTCCAAGGCTGGGCTGATATCATCCACTTCCAAAGCTTCCATGTCGCAGGCTTCACAAAGCCTAAGGCTCCTCCGCTGGCTCAGGAAAGGGCTTCATGAACATTCATTCACCCAACAAAGAGAGCGGTGCTTCAGCAATAGAGTTCTGGAAACAACTGAAAGAAACCTTCATTTGACTGCCTAGAGCAGGCTGAGCACAAGGATAGTTGATGTTTTTTCAGTCATTAAAAGCATTTGCTAGCAGCTAATGGCCATTAGCAGAAGTACAGGAAGACAAATGCTCCTTCGAGATTATTCTTCATTGAGATCTCCGTAAAGGTAACAGGAAGTGCTTGTCAAAGCAACGGCATGCAATCCTTGATTTCCTGGAAGAAAAGAATAGCACAACATTGACACATGGTTCACTGTATTCTATGGTACACGAATATGCCCAGCAATTTCCCCATCTTTACATCTCTTCAATGGCAGACATGCCCAGAGGTGGCCAACACCTACACAGGAGTTCCATTGTCAAGAGTACACATCACTACCCGCTTTGTGTTAGAACCTACACAGAGCAGGGTAGAACACTTGATAAAGGGAATTAAGGTCAACAACTTTTACTCATACAGAAAAGCCTTTGAGAGCAGTTGTGAAAAGACTGTCCTGGCAAGTCTCTGATATGCGGACCTAAAATGTAAGCAAAGAGACTAAGAAATCTGTGTCTGGGCCTATACCGTAATCAGTCTAAAAGTCACAAATACACGAGTTCTTTCACAAACTTTGAAAGCACTGATGGTTTGTCAGGCTAAAAAGCACAAGGGGGAAGTACCCAGGGAGGCTCTGCCCTTTTATTAGACCCAAATGCTATTGTGTTTGTGTTTCCCAGGCTTGGATTATGTAATACCTAATGAATGCCTCTGGACTTCAGAATTCCTCCAGTCAGCTTGAAAGAAAGGCTTCAGGCTCCAAACTCCCAGACGTTTTGAGGATTGGTCTAGGAGTACAGGTTGAACCTCAAAGTTGGGCAGCAAATACCCTTCATGAGCACTAACTCGTTATCTCTGGGAAAGATGAGATCTCCAAGTTCAGGCCTAATTAGCACAGACCTTGACAGTGATGCTGTCCAATAGGGTAGACACTAGCCATATACAACTATTTCAATTTATAATAAAAATCAAATGAAGTTTCTCAGTCACACTATTACAATCCATGTGCTCAACAGTCACATACAACTTTGTGTTTGCACCCAAAAAAAGGAACCAACAAAACAACTATGCAAGGGGCTTTTTTGCCCTTAACTACTTACAAGTAGGTAATATTAGGCAGTTAGCAACAGCTCTGCATGTTCCTGCGAAGGTTCATAGATGTGCTTTTTTCTGTTTAAAACTGCACGATCTTATGGTTCATTAAAATCATTTTTAGCACTTAGGTCATTAACCATTACATTTAAATCAACAGTACCAATCTACATCGCTTAATATATGTAAATTAAACTAGTATATATAGCCCTTCGTTTTAAAATGTGTCAACAGGGGTGCCTGGGTGGCTCAGTGGGTTAAAGCCTCTGCCTTCAGCTCAGGTCATGATCCCAGGGTCCTGGGATCGAGCCCTGCATCGGGCTCTCTGCTCAGCAGGGAGCCTGCTTCGCCCTCTCTCTGCCTCTCTGCCTACTTGTGATCTCTGTCTGTCAAATAAATAAATAAAATCTTTAAAAAAAATAAAAAAATAAAATGTGTCAACAGGTTTGCAGTTTACAGGAACTCTGTGGTTAACCTCTTGTGAAGTGATAATGACTATGAACTTGTCTACATTTTATATTTTGATACTTATTATGTTAGCCCTTATGCAATAAGGCACTGATTGACTTTTAGAGATAAACATCAGTTATAATAGTTGCAAACAGGGTTTCTTTTCCTGTGTTTACAGTTAAGCCCTGAGCCTCTTGAATTGTGCAACAGGGTTTTACTACTTCTGTAATTTTGAAACATAGGATTTTTAGTTTCATCTTCTACATTAGAGGCTATGAAAAAGAAATACATAATAAATCATAAAACTTTCTTTCTTTACCAAAATTTCAAATAAACATAATAAAGTGTAAGCAATACTACTACTAATAATAATGATAATGGACTCAAAATGGAGTCACTTGTGCAAAGCCCCACATCAGCAAATCAAGATTATACCTAATCTCAGCCTCAGTACTTTTAGCCTTTTGTGGGACTGTGACCTTTCACCAATAAATCTGGAATTACCTAATCAGCACTAGTGAGGTAATCTGATTGATAGATCCCTGCCCTTTCCCCAAAGAAAGGTGACCGTGCTTCCACCCCTCCTGCCTATAAAAGAGTTCATTTTGTAGTGCCTTCTATTTACTAGATGGGATGTCACCTGATTCATAAATTGTTGAATGCAGCCAAACTGATCTTCAAGTTTAATCACTCAAATTTTGTTTTTTGTTTTTTTTTTAAAGATTTATTTATTTATTTATTTGACAGACAGAGATCACAAGTAGGCAGAGAGGCAGGCAGAGAGAGAGGAGGAAGCAGGTTCCCTGCTGAGCAGCGAGCCCGATGTGGGTCTCGATCCCAGGACCCTGGGATCATGACCCGAGCTGAAGGCAGAGGCTTTAACCCACTGAGCCACCCAGGCGCCCCATCAAATTTTTTTTTTTTTAACATAAGTTTCCCATTTTATAGAAGAGGCACCAAGGTGCAGAGCAGTTAGTTATTCATCTAAGATTGTATCACTCATATTCCTTTCCTTACCCCGTGCTTAAAATTCAGTCTGTAATCATAATAGAGAGAGTACATACTTCAAAGTGATTTTTTTCTTATTTTAAATCAAAATGTCTAGAAATATACTCTTTGTGCTCTCAGCTGAAGTACTCATAGGCTGGTTAGAAGCATATAACCACTGATGGCCATCGCTGCTAGCTTGTGGGACACTGTTACCCCACACATCCTAAACCAGACACTGTTAGACAAGGAAGGGAACTCTGAAGTCATCCCTCCAACTCCAACCTTTCACAGAAGGGGACATTGAGGCCAAGGGATTATGAGATCACAGGATCACTTTTGTAAGCATTAGGAAAGTCTTCAAAAGAAGGTGCCCTTTGGGGGCGCCTGGATGGCTCAGTTGGTTAAGCAACTGCCTCGGCCTAGGTCATGATCCTGAAGTCTCGGGATTGAGTCCTTCTTCTTCCTCTGACCTCTCCCCTCTCATGCATTCTCTCTCCCATTCTTTTGCTCTCTCTCCCTCTCTCTCAAATAAATAAATAAAACCTTATGAAAAAAAAAAGTTGAGTTGAGTCTAAGAAATTTAGAAGGTATGGGCCTGAAAAGCTAGGAACAAATTAGAAAGAGTAAGTTACTTTTATTAGCAAGGAATTTTCAAGTTTATTATAAGACTTTCCATAGGCGATGTGGTGAGCAATATAGTGGAAAGGTCTGAGCTCCAGGTTTAGTTCTGGGTTCAACTCCCAATTGTCTCATATGAGCTACGTGATTTGGGGCAAGATTTCCCTGACCCACACCCACTCCGCTCCAAGTCCTTCTCTAGGCTAACCAGTACGTCCCATTATAGGAATTTTAATTTTCACTATTTAGTGCTTTCCATTCCCTCTGTTTGGAACTTATGCAGCTATTCCCCCTCCTTTCTGATAGAAATACGCATTTAACCTTCTAATCATCACTAGTGATGATCATACCCTAAAAATCATACCCTAAAAACTTCTCCTCTTTTCCATGCGACCCAGCATTTTCCTGACACTCTTTCTCGTCTTCATCCACTCAGTCACACGGGCCTTTCAGTTCTTCCGAGAGACTCTGAGGTTTACCTTTTTGACTTCCAGTCCTGTCCACAATGCTGTTCTCCTTGCTGGAGGGGTTACCCTCCCTCTCTCTCTTTTATGTATCTAATGCCAAATTATCCTTGGACCTAACATCAAGTGACAGAGTTGTATTCTCTAAAGATGGCCACAACAAATTCTATGCCACATGCTTTTCTGCAATGAGATCTTGTTCCTCTTCCGTCCAGAACTGACTTTATTTTTCCACTCCCTTGAATCTGGGCAGGATTTGTGATGTTGTGATCAATAGAGTGTGGCAGAAATGATGCTGTGCCCATTTGAGGTACAGCCCTTACCTGGCCTGGCAGCTTCCTCTTCCTGTCTCTGGGAGCTCTAAGCTGTTATCTAGGAAGTAAGGCTGTCTGCTAGAAAGAGAGGTCATGCCGCAGCAGGTGGGCATCAGGCATGTGTGTGGAGAAGCCGTCTTGGATGACAGCCCAGTCTAGCTTGCAGAGGATTCCAGCCCCAGTCAGTATCTAACTGCAACTCATAGGAGATCCCAACTGAGAACTGTCCCGATGAGCCTAGGCAGCCCAGAATGGTGAGTGGCAATAAACTGCTTTAAGACACTAAGTTTGGGAGTATTTTGTCACAGGACTTGTTTCTTCCTCAGGGACACTATCTGGTTAAATGTCCTTATTTAAGTTTCCGTGGCACTTGCATATCTGTAAGTTACATACTTTACACTTGGAATTACCAGTTCCAACGTCAATAGCCCCTCAGGCAGCAACTGTGTCTATTTTGCTCACCCTTGGACCTCCAGAACATCGTCGCAATTTAATAAGTATTTTTTAAGTAAGTTAATGAATTATTTTCGAGTGGCTATCTTTAGGATCATTAAGTTGTTTTCTTCTCCTCTTTTTCCTTTTTTGCCATTACCTCTGACTTACCACAAAACTGTTTCCCGCAATAAACAGTAAGGATAGCTGCTGCTTTAACAGAAAAAAAAAAAAAAAATACTCTTTAGTGTAATAAATGAATTGACGGACCAGTGTGAGAGGTCCAGCTCTTTGCCTGTATTTGCACAATACAAATTAAATAGCTAAAAAGAGTCATTGAGAGTTACAGTGATTTATTCATTCGATAAATATTTACTGAAGCAGCTCCTGAGTTCTAAGCACAGGTGATACTACAGTGAAGAGAACAGATACAAATCCTGCTCTCGTGGAACTTACATTACTAGAGTAGTGAACTCTTACTGTATGCCAGGCACAGCTCTAACTGCTTTCACTGCCTTACCCTCGGGTGGCAGGTGTTGCTTCGAAGGCCTCCCGAGAAGGAGGCACACCCCCCCATTCCCTGCGTCTATCTGATCCGTCCTAGCCCTCTTTGAAGTCTTTCCTGAGGACTCAGTCCTTTCAGATCTCTTATTTCCCTGAATGTCTGACCCATCACTGAACAAGTCAACTCTGTAAACCACCTTTTCCCCCTCAATTTGGCTAGGAGCTTCTGAAGGGCCCCACCTCTACACCTGTGTCCCTGTTCCCACAAGACCAGAAAGATCTTCCTGCCTCTTGCCTTCCTCCTTCTAATGCA